AATCCAATTAATATCACATTACATGGGTAATGTATAAACAACCGTGGAAGAAATCGAAATAGATAATTGTAGATATGCATAAATCGACTCTTTAATCATTTCTCAAGGCACAAAGGCAAGAGAGAGCCTATAAAAGCATTGGAAGCATCAACATCACCTGAGTTTAATGGTGTCTCCTTGTCCTTCTACTACAACTTATATATATATATATACAAACACATCTTTCCTTTTCTTTGCTCTAACTTATTTAAAAAGGATAATAAACTAAAAATCCAAATGATTTGTTTTTCCATCCATCAACTTCAAGTTTCTTGTGGACTCTTTGTGTCCCTTTTCTCCTTGTTCTGCCTCTCCTAGTTCATTTTGTTGTAGCCCTTTTGTAGTTTCCTACCATCTAAAGTAAAAAAAAAAAAGTTAAGATTATAGATTATGATCTTGGAAGTATGGAATACACTAGAGATATTATCTTTAGGAGACATTTCTAACAAACAGCTCTACTAAGAAACTAAAGTCAAGAACATGAAAAAGAGTTAAATCATCACATTTATACTTACATTCTTCTCATCACTTTTGAGTACTCATTACATTTCCTCAGACAACAAAATCTTCTACACCAAATTCATTACAATTTTGCTGATGAATCTAAACAATCCTTTGCATCTTCGTCTTGTATTTGTTTTAGTCTTATAATCGCCCCTATGAATTCCTCGTAGTCTACGGTGTCTTCCAAGTGCAAATCCGTCTAAAAATGATCCCAATGTGTAAGATAAACTACGAAGCAAACTTATATTCTGATCATTAGAAATCTATTGAGACACTAGTTTCTACTTACCGGCGTTTGTAAAAGACCATTGATATCCGAGTTGTCAAGATTTGTATTGAATCTTTCAAGAACGCTTTTGAGTTCTTTAAAAGTTATTCGCCCTCTCTTCTCGCTGTCTATAATCTTGAACGTTTCTCTTAGCCCTTGAATCTCTTCTTCTGAAAGCCTTTCTGCAATCACCTGCCAATTAAACACAAATCAGAGATCTTCTTCATCACCAAAACCATCTCAAAAAAACCAAAAAGGTTTTATTATATTTTGGTACCCTTAAAGCCATCTTCTTGAGCTTGTCTGTCGCTGAAAACTTCTTCAAGCGACTCAACACAGTTGTGTCAAGCGGTGTATCTGGTGCATTTCCTTCATCTCTAATCCATGGATGGCCTGAAAAAACCAAAACAAGATTAATAAGTTCCATATCTGCTTTTAACTATGGAGTTTTATGATTCTAAGGACTTACACAAGACTTGTTGAGCAGTCAGTCTTTGTTTTGGGTTCCTTTCAAGCATCTTTCTGATCAAATCTTTCGCGCTTTCAGAGACTTGTGGCCAAGGATCTGATGACAAATCAAGCTCACCCTCCAGAACCTCATTGAAGATTTCTTCTTCCGTTTCTGCTTAAATCAATAACACACATAAGAAAACCTCCAAAAGACATATAAAGTTGTGATCAAAGTGACAATATTACCTCCCCAAAACGGAGCTGAACCAGAGAGTAGCACATAAATCATCACACCCGCGCTCCAAATATCTGCTTCTCGACCGTAATACTTGTTCAAAACTTCAGGCGCAATGTAGTATGGACTTCCAACCACATCCGTAAAGTTTTCTCCTTCAAGTAACAATGTACATCTCAGGAAAACATCTATGAGAGCAAGGCAAAACACACAATTTCTTTTTGTAAAAGAACATACCAGGAATCAGGAACATAGATAACCCAAAATCAATAGCCTTAAGAGGCGAATCTTCGTGATCATCGACAAAGAGAAAGTTCTCAGGTTTAAGATCTCTATGCATTACACCTAAAGAATGGCAAGTCTGGACCACACCAAGTATGACTTTAGCCAAATGAGCAGCTTTTTTCTCAGAGTAATGTCCTCTCTCCACTATTCTATCAAAAAGCTCGCCTCCTCTACACAGCTCCATCACCATGTGAACAGCCACTGAGTCCTCATAAGCTCCTTTGATAGAGATCACATTTGGTTGCCCTAAGAGATGTTTCATTATCTCAATCTCTCTTCTCACATCTTCAACGTCTTCTTCGCTCTCTAGCTTCCTCTTCGGGATCGACTTACACGCGTATTCCTCCCCTGTTCCTTTCTCTATGCAAACGAAAGTCGTCCCAAACTGCCCGTGACCTAACTTGCTCCCCAAGTTATAATATTCTTTCAAATGCCCTGTTTTGGTCATCAACACTGACTCTGCTTGCAACCCTGCACTCATCAGTCTCCTCACGTTATGAGCCTTTCTTTTGCTGTTCCCACACGCGATCCCAACCGCTCGT